AGCCGCAGCAGCCATTGGAGGGTGAACCAACGGAAAAGGAAGACCTTTCTCTCTGTCTCCTCTCACTGTCTAACTCTGCCTGTCCAAAAAAATATATATATATATTTGAAAGGCAGAGGCAGAGAGAGAGAGAGGTCAGAGGTCTGCCAACTGCTGTTCATTCCCCACATGGCCACAACAGCTGGAACTGTGCCTATCCAAAGCCAGGAGCCTAGTGTTTCATCCAGGTCTCCCACGCAGGTGCAGGGGCCCAAGGACTTGGGCCATCTTCTGCTTTCCCAGGCCATAGCAGAGAGCTGGATTGGAAGTGGAGCAGCCGGGACTCGAACCAGTGCCCATATGGAATGCCTACACTGCAGGCGGCGGCTTTACCCGCTGCACCACAGCGCTGGCCCCAGTACTCCTAATCTAAATAGATAGGATCTGGCAAGCTCTAAGATTTATTTATTTATGTGAGTTAAATGAGGGAAAGGGAGAGACAGATCCTCCATCTGCTGGTTCACTCTCCAGATGGCCACAACAGCCAACTCTTAGGGTCTCCCACACAGGTGCAGGGGCCCAAGCTCTTGGGCCATCCTCCGCACTTTCCTAGGCACATTAGCAGAGAGCTGGATTGGAAGTGGAGCAGCGGGGACATGAGCCCTATGGGATGGTGGCATTGCAGGCAGCAGCCCCCGGCAAGCGCTCGAATAGTTACTACTCACTGCCGCCTCTGTCGTGCTCAGTGACTGTAGAACTAACAGGAGACCTTCTCTTGCAGCGTCTGCAGTGAAGCACTCAGTTACTTCCTCACTCTAACATCAGAAAGTCACCGGGAAGCCTGGACTAACTTACTGCTGCTGTTTCTAACAAAAGTTCTAAAGATCAGTGATAACAGGGTAAGTCTGTGTCTCCCACCAGCTCCATGTCTACTGCACGGCGTTGTGACTGTGACTCCAGGCAGGGCTGCCTCCACTCGCAGCCCAGGTGCTGCTGCTGCTTGTTCAAGACCCTTAACTGCCTCAGCTGGCCTCAGTGTGCTCCCTCCTAACCTAGCTTTGTTCTCTAATCCAAGATTCTATAGGGTGTTCAGTAGGGGAGGAAGTCAGAGTCCCTTAGAACATCTTGAAAAACTCTTGGGTGCCCCTTGCATTTTAGTCTCCATCATGACTCCTGGAGTCTCCACTTTGGCCCCATTTTGAAAAAGATGTACAGCCCACTCCTCAGCCTTGCACTCCCCCAACTCCTGAAGGCTGCATGTAGCATGGCTCCTGGGCCTGCGAGCCAGGCTGCAGTCATCCTTTGGCATAGTTAGTGGTTCTTTGTGACCCATGGTCCCTAGTGAATGGGGTATGAACTCATTTTAAAATTTTGAGCCAGTAGAAATGAAAGTAAAATACAAATTATATATAACTAAAGATAAATGCATATTTTAAGGTTTTCAACAATGTTTCATTTACAAAAAAAAAAAAAAGGGTAGCAACTCCTATATAAGGAAGCAGGGTAGTTGTGACCCCCAAGAGTGGAGGCCCTGAAAGCATGTGGGACTCCTAGGGGGGCAGGGCAGTACCACTGGGTGCTGCACGGTGCTCCTCACAGGTCACGCGCCCTAGTGCCCAGGTGCATTTCCATCCATGCTTTAAGGCCACCAAGAGCCACAGAGTCAAGAATTCTTGCGTGCAGACCCCAGGCCATGTTCTTGTCACAGTGTCATCCTGCTTCCTGGTGGTGTGCAGAGTAGCAGGAGAGGAAACAGCGGGCAGAGTTGTATTCAGAGGCTAAGGCACTACAGCAAAGATGCAGTCAACACAGACTGACATGTAAATATGGAATGTATAGTTTTGTCTGCGCAGTGTTTATATATTAGGTAAAAGTTTCACAAAATCTTAAAAAATTGTATTAAACAAAAAGATGTAATTTAAATAACCTGTATTGTATAGAAACAATTCTGATGGCATGTCAAAAAGTTCTGGGAAAATGAAATTAAATTTTGGTGCAAAAAATTTTGAAATCTGTACATGCAAGGGATTCAGATAAGTTCATGCAAAATGTGTATTTTTTTTTAAAAAATTGCATGGATTTCACAAACTTTTTGTATCAAGAATATCTTCATTTTTCCATAAGCTTTTGAGAGACAGTTCCTACCCACCTTTTCATTCCCTGGATGTGCTCACAATGGCATAGGCCAAAGCTCTGAGTTGACAGCTCAATCCAGGTCTTGCATGTGAGTGGCAGAACCCACCACCACTGCCTCCCAGGTCTGCATTAGCGGGAGGCTGCAGAGCCACCTGTTGAACCCAGATAGTGAGAGACATGGGGGTCTCAGCAGCTAACAAACCAAATGCCCACCCCTCCAGGAACTGTTTGAAGCACCTTTGTTGTTCATGCTTGGCTTCTTTCTTGTGCTGTTGTTCAGGAAAAGCAATGCTAAATTTGAGAAATTTGTTGCAAGATACATAGTGGCAAATGTTTTACAAGATCAGGACAGGTAATTAAATGGTTTATTAAAGTGCATCTTTTGATTGCCTTTCCATCTCTCGCTTCCATCATCCATATGCTCACTCCTTGAGGCAGACCCTGCTTCTCCTGTCTTCTGTGGTCAGTGTGTGCAGTTTTAGGCCTTGTGGTTTGCAGTGCAAGCACTACTAACGGAGAAATCCATTCTTTTCCCCCCAGTTTAAAGCTCATGCATCATTCTACTACCCTCTGTTATGTGAAATCATGCAGTTTGACTTGATTCCTGAACTTCGTGCTGTTCTTAGAAGATTTTTTCTGCGAATTGGAGTAGTTTTTCAGATATCACAACCACCTGAACAGGAACTTGGACTAAACAAGCAGTGATGGAATCTTGTGTTCTGTGGGCGTTTACATCCCTCTGCTCTTTAAAAGGACCCTGGCCAGAGCTGAGGTTTCCTGCCTGAAAAATGGTTTTCTCTGAACTGCAGTGTCTGAGAGTTATTGATAAAGATGCTTAGAACTCAAACTTCGAACACTCCAGGCCCTTCTAATAATCTGATGGATTCTGTGTGCTGTGTTGGGCTCATGTGGAACAGAAAGCCTATTTTAAAAGTGTCAGTTTATGCTCGCAGGCCTGTCCTGTGTGCAGGGAGAGCCCCACATGTTCTGGCAGGCTGTGGAAGTGAAATTTACCCAAAGAACTATAAAGATTGAACTTCTGCAAGAAGTACAACTCAGGAGAGCTGTATTTTGAAGGATAAAATGTTTCTAATTGGGGGGTAGGGGAAGAAGAAATTATTGTTCATGGTAAAAAATATTTAGCACCTATGGTATTCTGAAGATTTTTGCACACTCAGGCTGTCTGAGATACTGGTAATCATCCTTCTGTGAAAAATGTACAGAGATGCAGGTCTGTAATATAAAATCATAACATTATATAGTTTTCCCTGCACTGGTTTATTTCTTTAATTTTCTTACCCACTTGCTAAATATCCCTAATATTTTGTCAAATGCACTAAACATTTTGGTTGAACTTTTTTTATATTCTGTGGGATTTTTAATTTTGCCTTTTTGAGGGGGTGGTAATTTTGAGGGTTTAACATACCCAGAAGCTGTTGTGGGTGATACTTGTCAAGATCAAAAATAGGAAAACAAAGGTGAAAATATCCCTCCTGACAAGAACTACCTGTAATACAATTATTTTAGGGCTTTTAAAGATGAGCCATTAAAATAAATGATCCTGCGACTGAAACTTGAATCACTGCAAAATGAATCTTAGGTTTTTGGTTTTTTTTTCCCTTTCCTTTTGGGTGGCTGGCTGGGCTTGATGTAGATTTTACTCTATGTACAGAATTCAATGTTGAATATATTAAAATAAATCTGGCATGGTTTGGGGAGGTTAGATTTACTGGAAATGTATTCATACTGTGAATTGTGTTCTGATGGTTAAAGACAAGATTGTCAAGCATTCCGTATTAACAGTGGATGTAGAAAATTTTTTCAGATGGATAAAATGTATATGGTACAGATGTAAAGTTTTCTATGTAAAAAATTCTGTACAACTTTCTGTACAATACTGATTCTCATCTGGCATATTCTAATCAGGTTATAGGTCAATAAAGTTTTTGAATTATTTCATCAGTGCAATCAAAACCTGTGTAACCCACAGCCCCATGTTTCATTTATTATGGAAAGGATATTTTTGGCCAGAAGTACAAATTCAATAATCTTTGGATTTTTTTTCCTAGCTTCTGGTGTTAGATCCTGCCTTATACCTTGCTTTCTTGACTTTAGGATATTTGTAACTTTAATATTTTGTATATCTATAAATACAGAATAAATCTACACTATTTGAATAAGCTGAAACAAAGTTAGCTCAAGTTCCCTTCTGGGCAGACTGCAGCGTTGATACTGTGTGGTACGTAGCATACAACACGTCAGTATAATTTTTAGAGGTTTATGCCACAGAACAAGAGAAGTATCTAGTCTTTGCTTTCACACCTCTCTTGGATAACAGTTAAACCACGCACTAGCAATGTGTTTTACTTATAGTCCTAAGACACAGCTCTGGTAAACCCAAGCTGCATGCTGGAGCTGAGAGTCACCCACCTCAGTGACCAGGAGCCACTGTGACCTTCTGATCTATCTTAGAGACAAGGGCTTCTCACATCCTGGTGGTTTAATATTTACTGGTGTGGTATCAGGACTTTCCCTAGAGGAACAGAAGCTTTCTTCAAGATGATGGAAGAAAAAACCTTTAATAGTAAAACAATTGTTACATTATTGAATACAAATCTCACAGTTGGGCAGACTTCCGTTAGTGGAAACTTGTTGAAGCAGTACCTGTGGCACCAGCTGTCATGTTGAAGTCTCTAATCCTAGTAAAAATTATTTTGATATTCTTTGAAGCAGTACTGCTTAGTGATTATGGAAACAGACTCACTTATCCAAAGGTGCATGGTGGCAAAACAAAGATTCCAGTCTCTGTTCTTGGTGGTCCTACTGCTTTTCAACCTCTAGAAACCTAGCATACATTCCAATTTGAGTTAAATAAGAAATATACATTGATAATAAAAATAAAAATTTATTTCTGTCAAGAAGTAGTTATATAAATTAGTAACTTAAGACAATGCCTTTCATTGGCACCAAAATAATATGCAGGCAGAAAGATATAACATTTAGTGCATGGCTCACAGGAATAAAGTAATTACAGCTCCATAATTTCTACAGAATCAGTAGCTACAAATGACATTAGAATAACACATTTGATCCCCTCATTACCTAGCAATGAATAGTCACAACTACAACAGATGTAATTACCAAGTGAATTATTTTAAATAGATTCCAATCTGTCTCAAGGATTATCCTGGTTTTACAGTACTGTTAAGACATTTTCTATACCTTGTCTTAATGGCAAACAGTTTAAAAATAATGCACATACGGTAGTTGAATCCAAGAGTTGATTACCCCCTTAATGGCAAAATTTTGCAAAAATAGTTCTATATAATTCTATCAATAATCTTAGCCTTTTATTTATGTACATAACATACATCTACACAATCACGGAAAAGCACTTTTATATACAGATGGAACCTGAGCAGATCATTCTCAGGTAGAAGGTACAGGTTTCACACGCTTCTCACCATAAAAGGCACTACTGGATCCAGCAGAGACTAATTTTAACCATGTGCAGTAGACAGCCCCTGCCAAGTGTAAGTGCCAGGTTTCCCAGGAACCTGCTGCTGCTCCTGCTCCTGGTTCAGCTGCTCTGCCATGAAGTATTTCAGTGTTTCTGAGGTCCCGGGGCGGAGCCAGGGTTCAGTTGCAACAGAATTTGATCCGTCATCACTCACATGTTTGATGATGTCATCAGGGTCCACCAGTGAACTCTCATCGTCATCTACTAGAGGCAACAGACACATGACTCAGGTGACAAATGCGGGTCTCCTGTAGTCTGACCCATTACAGCTCTGCATTTATTTCTGTTCAGAACTCTCCTTTTAAAAGGTAGGAAAACAGACCCAAGGAGGAATTCGTTTTGTGAAACAAAAATGATCAAATGAATAAGCCGACTGCACGGCTGCAGTTTCCCAGAGGGAGTCTAAAGCAAACAAAAATTCTAAATGTATCAAAGGAGACTGCGGAACAAGTTAATTATGCAAGTGAATGCAGTCTGTCTTTGTAACCATCACCTCCAGGAGACGCCCTGGATACAACAGAAAGCTTTTATTTAACTTCGGGAGGTTTGAAGAATACTCTTAACCTCTAGCACTAGACATAAGGAAATATAACATGCAATTCTGAGTAAGCACTGACTGGATGAAATTACTTCTGTTCTTATACCCCTACCTAAGAAGGCTATGTCTAGGCTACTAAGAAATCAGCTTTTAAGTTCCATCCTTTAAATTTGATTATATTCAGTTTTCACATTTGTCTTATAATTAGGTATAATAGAAAAATCTGTCTTCCTACCCTGTGATGTCAATTTCTTTAAAAAAAAATTACATCTCATCTGTGAAGTAGCCCAGCAAAAGGATATGTGCAACTTAATGAGCAATCAATCCACATCGTACCCAAAAGCTCCTGTTTGAAAGGACAATGTTAAACAAAAAACAGTTTAGACACTGATAACGTTCTGAACAAGTAGATTCTTAAAATATCCTATCGTCTCTCAGATACAACCCTGATAAAAATTCCATTTAATCAACAAGTAATCCTCAGTATACATTTAAAAATGCATTTTAGCTGAAAAGATACCCTCTCCCACTCTCCCACTGTTCCACACTTTTCTGGGTATAATGTAAAAAATAGTATTCCCTCAGTTTACTAATCTTTGGTATGGAATCACTGCCATCAAAACATAACACTGATACCAGAGATTCTATGACTGCAATTTTAATAGTGTTAAACATCTAGAAGTATCTTAAGCAAATGCCTATTAGAAAATTGTGGTGGGGCCAGTGCTGTGGCTGCCATATAGTGCCACTTTGAGTCCCAGCTGCTCCATTTCTGATCCAGCTCCCTGCTCAAGTGCCTGGGAAAGCAGCAGAGGATTGCCCAAGTGCTTGGCCGCCTGCACCCACAAGGGAGGCCGGAAGAAGCTCCTTGGCTCCTGGCTTCAGCCTGGCCTAGTTCTGGCTGTTGTGGCCATTTAGAGAATGAACCAGCAGATGGTAGATCTAATTCTGCTTTTCAAACAAAATAATTTTTTTAAAAAATTATATATTAAAAGTACTGTCCAAAAATGCCATTTTATTAGGGACTAAGAGGAAAGATTTACAGGAGGAAGTTAGTAGCTAGCGAAGGAACTGCCTAGTGTGTTCTATGATAAGCATTAACCTCCAGGTCTCCAAAGAATACTTCGGATGAGAAGACCAGCTTTATTTAACTTAATAAAAAGAAAATGCTAACCTGAGGCTGTTCAGAAAGCCAAATAAAAAGGTATTTTCTTTGTAGAACTCACCTACAAAGTACTGAAGTTGATTTCTGATCACCTCACTTCAACAAGTGATCACCATATAATCAGAATTTTCCCTCCTGAAAGCAATACCTGGATCTATTTCACAAGTGAAAACTATTTTATCCGTTTAGAATCCACTCTAAAATGGGTACCCTCACTCGCTGGTTACTAAGAATCTAATGTAAAATTAATCCTGATGGGACTTCAAAACTTTGACTCCATCTGTCCTCCAGCCACCAGTGAAAAGCTCCATGCGAGCAGGCTTGAGCGTTCCTAAACGATCTAGTAAAGGCCATTACAATCGGCCCTTTACCTGGATTAACAGATTTATTCTGAAGTCCATTCAGTCTTCGCATGCGTTCCTCATTTCTCGTTCTAAGCTGATCAACATTTACACTGGAGACAGATTTTAAAGAGATACCATCGGGTGGTGCATTAGACTGACTGTTATCCTGTGGTTAGAAAACAATTTCAGAAACTGCCCTTAACAACAACAACAACAACAACAACATGTTCAGAATGATTCAATGCATCAAAACTTGTTTTTGCCCTCAATAAATGTTCATTGTAATGAACATAATAAAATAAATGAAAATATAGAGCATTTATATTCTGACTCCTCTGTTAATCAGTGCATGCTCAAATGCTCTCAGTCAAAAAGATTCAGCATTTGTGATGACACGAGCTGTGAGACTGCATGAAGAGTCAGCAGAAGCAGTAAGGGGGCTGGTGCTGAGGCACAGCAGGTAAAGCAATCACCTGTGGTTCTGGCATCCCATAAAGGTGCCGGTTCAGGTCTGCTCCACTTCCAATCCAGCTCCTTGCTAATGTGCCTGGGAAAGTGGAGGAGGATGGCCTAGATCCTTGGACCCTGCACCTAGGTGGGAAACTTGGAGGAAGCTCCAGGCTCCTGTCTTTGGATCAGCCAAGCTCTGGCCATTGAGGCCATTTGGCAAGCGAACCAAATGGAAGACCACTCTGCTTCTTCTAGCTCTGCCTTTCAAATAAACATCTTTTTAAAAAATTATTAAAAAAAGGAAAAGCAGTAAGGTAAAGAACAGTCTTCTCATCAAATGGTGCTGTAACGAGTGGGTTTCCACATGCAAAAGAATGAGAGTGTTACAGGGAGAAGTAGAGAGAGAGGGAGAGGTCTTCCATCCGCTGGTTAACTCCCCAAATGGCCGCTACGGCCAGAGCTGAACTGATCTGGAGCCAGGAGCTTCCTCCAGGTCTCCCATGTGGATGCAGGGGCCCAAGGACTTGGCCATCTTACACTGTTTCCCAGGCACATTAGCAGGGAGCTGGATTGGAAGTGGAGCAGCCGGGACTCAACCTAGTGCCCATATGGAATGCTGGCACTGCAGGTCAGGGCCTCAACCTACTGCGCCACAGTGCCAGCCCGGATGTTCCACTTCTGATCTACCTTCCTGCTAATGTACCTAGGAAGGCAGCAAAAGATGGTCCAAGTACTTGGGCCCCAGCCACCCATGTTGGAAACCCAGATGGAATTCAGGCTCCTGGCTTCAGCCTGGCCCAGCCCTGGGAGTGACCCAGTGAATGTAAGATCTCTTTGTAACTGCTTTTGAAATAAAAATTTTTTAGGGGAAAAAAAAAAAAACCTGCCAAAAAATTGCCTACCCAATGAGAAAGTGACATTGCTAGGACATGTATGTCCTGAGGGCTTCAAGGCCTGTTAGTATGATGGCTGCACTCTGAAGACATGAGACAGCATGAAGAGAATGTGGATTTGATTCTGACTCATCTTGCTGGGTGATCTGACCAAAATGGAGGGAGCACCTACATCCTGGATGAGTTGCTTTCTGTGCCTTCTCTGAAACTCATGTATTATACAGGGCAGGAGGAAGAGCAGGGTGATGAATTAACATTTCTATTCCAAATACAGAGCTGTTACTTCAGCACCTCAGGAGAGAAGAAAGTAGTGTTGCCTTGAAGAAGCCAAGGCAGAAGAGCTGAATAATTGGTGATGGGCCCTAGATTCAAGCTATGTCCACCTCATTTCAAAGATAGTGCTTTCTTTATTGGGACACATCAATTTAGCTTGGATCAGAACCCAGACCCTCACTCTTCCAAACTGATAAGTAGGGGAGGGAAGAGAGTTCATACATACAAAGTCCAGTCCTTTCAGTTTATTCCTCCTGCGCTCCCTGGCAGAGGGCAGCTGTGATGGTGATGGTGAAGGGAAGGTGTCATCTTCAATGGCAGGATATGTCTCACCGTAAGCACCTTGATGGGCCACACAAAGCAAAGTCTTAAATGTAGGCCTATTGGTAATCATTCCCCACTCCCATCTGCCCAGCCCCCAGCAAACACTGATCTACTTTCTGTCTCAATAGATTTACATTTTTTACAATATAATCCTTCGTTGTTTTTGACTTAGATGAATACACATTAATGCTATGTTGTACATGTGTCAGCATATATCACATTTTGTCTATGCATTTACCAGTTAATGGACATTCGCTCCTTGTTGGTGATTATGAATAATGCTAATGTAAACATTCAGTTACAAGACTGTGTGAATATGTCTTCATTTCTTTGGAGTGTATATCTACGGGTAAAATTGCTGGGTATTATGGTAATGTTCAGAATCTTAACTACCCAACTGATTTCAAAAGTGGCTGTATTACTTTACAATATAAGATGGCTCCAGTTTCCCCATGGTGTCACCAATATTTGGTATCATTAGTCTTTTTGACAACAGCCATTCTAATGGACCGACCAACAATCTATTTGCGAAGATAAATAGCCTGTATCATTTTAATTTTTTCACTTAGGAAAAATTTTAAGACTAAGGAAAAGCTATAATAATAATACAGAAGAATCACCGTTTGATAATTTGCCAATTTTTTTCTATATGTATTTTGCTGGATGTTGTTGCTTCTGTTTTTGCTGAGCCACACTGCTAAGCCAGTAAGGGGAGACATCATGACACTTTGTCCCTAAGAACAAGAACCAACTCCCACACAGCTACAATTTATATTGAGGAAATTTTAGGGAAATTAAATACTGATATAATAAAGTCATTTCACATATAATTGATACTTAAAATTTTCAAGCTTATATTGTACAAGCTATCTAAAATAAGATAAAATGTCCATTGTTTTGAATGATATGGTGTAGAGATGCTGCATAAGTGCCTCTCGGGGGCACACTCCCTACCCCCCTGAAATTACATGCCTGCTGACTTGTAGACTTGCTAGTACCCTCTAAATAAAAGTGGGAGCAGTTAGCTATCCAGAGGTGTGCTCTTAGAATGGATGCTCCCATGGCCTGTCTCCTCATATGAAAAACTCCAACAATATGGAGCTTTCTATGATTCCAAAGTAAGTTTTCAGATTTCTATCACAACTAATGTCTAATTTTTCTAGTCTTCCTTTGTCTAGAGTTTTCAGTTCCCAGAGAATTTAGTAGAAATTAGAGTGTTTCCATAAAACCCCATCTGTACACCAGGACAGGCCTCCCCCATAATCATATCCCCCACCAGAGTGGAACATCTGTACAAATCAAGAAACCTATACTGACACACTGGCACCCTAACTCCACACCTTACAGTAGGGTTTATTTTTGGTGTTATACATTCTGTGGGTTTTGGCAAATGTATAACATGTGTCCACTACTGTAGTACCATAGTGAACAGTGTCACTGCCTATATCTTTATACTTCTCCCTCACTCCTAGCAACTACTAACCTTTATTGTTCCCATGGTTTTGCCTTTTCCAGAATGTCATATAGTTGGAATTAAAAGTATGTTATCTTTTTAGGTTTTAAGCATTGAATAATACTGCATTGTCTAGATTACCACACTTTATCCATTTTTGTACAACAGACATGTTTGTTTCCAACTTTTGGTACTATAAGTAAAAGCTGCAATACATATTTGTGGCAAGACAGATTTTTGTATGGACATGGGTAAATATGAAGAAGTAAAATCGCTGAACTGTGATAAAAACAGGTTTTCTTCTAAGAAAATGCCACATTGTCTTTAAAAGTGCCTGTATCATTTTTGCATGTCTACCAGCAATAAAGGAGGGTTTCTGTTAATGTGGCTGTTTTCAGTGTTTTGAACGCTGGACAGTCTAGCAGGTACGTCATGACACTTTAATTTACAATTCTCAAGATAGTAGGCATTGTTTTACAGGCTCATTTATCATCTGTGTATCTTCTTTGGTGAGCTGTATGCAAGTGTTTTGCTCATCTTTTAGCTGGGTTTTTGGTTTCTTAGTGAGTTTATGAGTTCCATGTTTTGGAAGGCAGCCCACTATTAGAAATGTCTTCTGCAAATGATTTAACAGTCTGTGTCCTGCCTTCTGATAATTTAACAGTGACTTTGACTTCTACAAAGCATTTTTCTTTCAAGGACAGTGCCTGTGGTGTCACCACAGGTCTTTCAGATTTTCTCCTACTTCCAGGAGTTTATAGTTTGGCATTTACATTTAGTTCTGTGATTCATTTTAATTGAATTTTCTTGAAAGATGTTAAGTTCTGTAGGATTTTTTTTTTTTTTGCATGTGGATGTTCTCCAGTTGTTCCAGCATCCTTTGTACTGCCTTTGTGCCTTTGTCAAAGATCATTTGACTATATTTGCACAAGCATGCTTGTTAGCTCTCCATTCTGTTCCACTGATCTCTTCTTTCAATACTGTCATGTTATCATTCCTATTAACTTTATCATTGTCAGGTAGTGATGGTGCTCCAAACTGTGCTGTTTTTAAAATTGTGTTGTTGAGTGTTCTCAATTTTGTGTTTCCACATACGTTTTAGAAACAGAATGTCAGTATATCCACATAATAAAATTGAGGTTTCTATGGAATTGTTTTAAATCTACAGATTAAGTAGGGAATAACTGACATATTAAACATTGAATCTTACTATTCACAACATGGCTGTCTCTTCTTTTTGGGGGGCACTAATGTATATGGCATGTTTTTACTTGAAATTCTACTTGCTCATTGCTGGTTTATCAGAAAGCAAGTGATTTCTATATGTTAATCTTGAGTTCTGCAATTTTGTTATAACTGCTTATTAGTTTTAGGAGATTAGTTGATTCAGAATTTCTACAGGCAAGCATGTCATCTCTGAACAAAGAATTTTACTTCTTCCTTCCTGTTTCTTACAGTATTGCACTAGGTAGCGCTTCCAAGATAACATTAAGGAGTAATAAAACAGCAGCCACACAGGTGCAGGGGCCCAACCACTTTGAGCCATCTTCTGTTCTTTCCCCGGCCATAGCAGAGCTGGATAGGAAGAGGAGCAACCAGGACTAGAACCGGCGCCAATATGGAATGCCGGCACCACAGACGGAGGATTAACTTCCTGCGTCACAGCGCCGGTTCCTCCTATGCATTTAAAACCACAAGAGGGATAATGTGTATCATATGGTAGGTTTTGAATGTGAAACCTCCATACTGTTCTCCATCAGGGTTGAATTAATTTACATTCCTACTAACAAGGTATAAGCGTTCCCTTTCTTCTACATCCTCACCAGCATTTGCTATTTTTATTTTTATTTTTTTTTTTTTTTTGACAGGCAGAGTGGACAGTGAGAGAGACAGAGAGAAAGGTCTTCCTTTGCCATTGGTTCACCCTCCAATGGCCACCACGGCTGGTGCACTGTGGCTGGCGCACTGCGCTAATCTGAAGGCAGGAGCCAGGTGCTTCTGCTGGTCTCCCATGGGGTGCAGGGCCCAAGCACTTGGGCCATAGCAGAGAGCTGGCCTGGAAGAGGGGCAACTGGGACAGAATCCGGCGCCCCGACCAGGACTAGAACCCAGTGTGCCGGCACCACTAGGCGGAGGATTAGCCTATTGAGCCGTGGCGCCGGCCTATTTTTTGCCTTTTTCATATAGCTATTTCACAACTGTATCTCACTGTAGTTTTGATTTGCATTTCCCAGGTGACTAATGATATTATGCATGTTTTCACAAATTTGTTAACTTATTTGAATTTTTTCTTTTGAGAGAGTTCTGTTCATTTCTAAGATTTATTTATCTGAAAGCCAGAGAGAGTGAGTGAGCGAGCGAGCAAGCAAGCGAGCATGCTTCCATCAGCTGGTTCATTCCCCAAATGGCTGCAATGGGCAGGAATGGGCCAGATCACAGCTAGCAGTTTGATTGGGGTCTCCCACATAGGTGACAGGGACGCAAGTGCTTAGATCACCTTTCACTGCTTTGTCAGGTGTATTAGCAGGGAGCTGGATTGGAAGTGGAGCAGCCAAGATTTGAACCAGCAACCACAGGTGATGCTGGCATCGCTGGTGGCAGCATAACATGCTGTGCCACAATACTGGCCACTGCTTATCAGTTTTAAATTAGATTTATTTTTTTGTTGTTCCTACATATTCTGGATACTAACCCTTTGTGGGATAAATAGGTTGTGAAAATAGTCTCCCATCCTGTAGGGTGACTCAAAACTCTGTTGACTGTTTCCTTTGCTGTGCAGAAGCTTTAGGTTGATAAAATCCAATGTGTCTTTTTCAGTTTGTTGCCTGTGCTTTAGGGTCACATCCATAAAATCACCGCCAATACTTATGACTTGAAGTGTTTTTACGTTTTCTTCGGTTTCATTATGCCAGGTCTTACACTTAGGTTTTCTATATATTCTAGGTCAATTTCCGTATTAGGTGACAGGTAAGGCTCAAGTTTCATTTTGCATACAAAATCCAGTTTCCCCAGCATCAGTTACCAAAGAGACTGCCGTTACTCCATTATATGATTTTGGCACCTTTGTCGAGAATCAATTGGTTATAATGGCATGCACTCATTTCTCTAAATGGTTTCATTGGTCAGTGTGTCTGTTGTTAATGGCAAAATCATGCTGGTTTTGGTTATGTGGTATATCTTGAAATCAAGTTGTGTGATGTCTCTTGCTTTGTTTTTTGTTCAACATTGCTTTAGCTGTTTAGAGACCTTTATGCTCCTCTATGAATTTTAGTATCTTTTCTAATTCTGCAAAAATGTCATTGGTATTTTGATGGGGAGTACAATGAATCTGTGAATGACTTGGCACATTTTAATAATACTGATTCTTTCAATCCATGCACAGAAGTCATCTTTCTAATTTTTTGTACCTTCAGTTTCTTTCACATCCTCATCTAAGTTTATTCCTATATTTTTTCATTTTTTACAACTGTTGTAATGGGATTTTCTTTTCTGGTGAGTTCACTATTGGTATGTAAAAATGCTGGGGCAGGGGCCAGCACTATGGCATAGTAAATAAACCTACCAC